GGATCCCACATACAGACCGGTTCCCGCTCACTGGCTGAGCGAGGTGTGGGAGCAACACCGAGGGTTGCGATCCCATTGCCGGTCCCGGTCCGGTACAGGCGCGACACTGAGGGCTGCGATCCATTGCCGGACACGAAAAAAGACAAAAAAAAGGAAAAAAAAAAAAGTAGGGATTGTTTAATATATTATTGTAGTACAATAGTTATCCATTTTTAAGAAAACAATCTTAACCAAGACTGAAAAGCCAGAAGTTATATGAAAAAAGAGTTATACTTGAATATGAAAAAATGTAAAAAATTATATGGAAATAAATACCATCAGCAAAGTCAATACATATAGATTTGGGCATGATATCTGTAACTATGATGATAAACAAACAACTAATATCTAAAATATACAAAGAGCTCTTACAGCTTAAGAAAAATATATGCAACCATAGGAAAATGGGCAGATGATACGAATACGCAAGTCAAAGAAAAACAAATTTAATTGGACAAAAAATATATATAATACTGAAATTCACTAGTAACCAGGAACTACGTTCATCAGGTTGTCAAAATTATAAAAGAAACATTTCACCTATTGCTAGTAGTGATATGAAGAAATGAATAGACACATATATTGCATACAAAAGCAAAAAGTGAAGTGTAATAGGCTGTTTTTGTAAATCAATATGGCAACATCTGTTAACATACATATATATTTATATATAAGCATTCATTTGTATCTTTCTACATCTATCTATGTATATAAATTGAAAGTAACAGTATATAGGGGCATAAACACAATGTTTATTTCAGCACTGGGTATAGTTGCATAAATCTGGAAAGAAAGTAAGTGTTTCTTAATGGGGGAATGGCTAACCAAATGTTGTGCATCCATGAAATATTTTGCAGCCTGGTATAAGGATAAGAGTTGTAACAATAGACTTCGATAGATGTATTAAAGCATATATAAGATTCTGTTTTTGTAGAACAAACAATTAACAACAAGAAAACATTCCAAAACCTGTGCATGCACACACATGAGACAGAGACACAGAGACAGAGAGAGAGAGACAACCTAGGCACGTGGAGAAAAATATGGCAGGATGCATACTGATTTGCTGATGTGCGGGGATAGTGCAGAAAGGTAGAGCTAGGAGCCAAACAAAAAAAAGAACCAGTATAAAAAAAATAAATCCAGCAATCATATTTATGTATTTATACATGCATATAAAAGTATAAAAATTAAATTTAGAAAAGATACTCTACAGTAAACACCTCAATATACAATATGATGTCTCCTAAACTAAAAAAAAAGAAAGGCAACAAATAAAATTATCTCTTGGTGGTAGGATTAGGGGTGATGTTTATTTTTTTCTTTATGTGTCTCTGTATTTTCTACAATGAGAAGTGTTACTTTCATAACAATGAAATAAAACCAAGAAATGTTATTTTTTTTTAAAATTACACTGAATAATTGAGCTCATTTTGGAAAATCAAGAGAGGGAAACAGGGTTAAAGACCCGTTTCCCTCAGGAGCTGTCCAAGTGAAAAATACATGAAATCAGGATCCATTACCCCTTGCCCAGGAAAAAGTTACTCACCTAAGGCAAAAGACTAAATAGCTATTTCAAGGAGGTATTTGAAGCAGCAAATTGGGTCTTTTTCCCCCTACCTAACACTTCAATGACTTAAGTAAATCAGAAAGCCATTTACACCACTCTCAATTATCCAAGGAGCTGCTAGGCTCTTTGCTTCCTATTCTCTCCCTCTGGCTCAGGAAGACCTCCAAAATGGGGGCTGGGGAAGGGGGAAAGAGAAGAAATTAATTCAGTCGATTTAGCTTCTTATTAGCAACTCTAATAAAAGGTTTGATAAGTGAGATGGCCACAACTCATGGATTCTTGATAACTTCATTTAAGTAAACTTGCCTTCAGAGATACACCATTGGCCCGCAATATACTTTAATTGATTTGATGCTTGCTATTTTTAAGAAAGTCAGGACTTGTAATAAGGTGCTATTTTTCTCTCCTCACTTTAATTTGCACTTTAAGGGAAAAACTCATAAATACAGGAGAACGATGCCCTACAATGTGAAGAACCATATCCTCCGTGGAGCAGCAGGATCACAATGCAAAGATTTTTTGGAGGAAGGATGCTGTCTGGCCCCAGTGTGCTTTCAACAGAAACTTTCGGAGGACATCAACTTTCCAAGGGAGCACGCCTTGCCCATACAACCACCACTATAAGTATTTGCTAAAAAGGATTCATCCAGGCTTGATGAAAGCCTCATCTTCACACACAACATGCCCCTGTTTCAGTGGACCCTCAGACTTTTGTCCTTTGGAGAAACCCAGAGACCAAGCATACAAGCCCAAGGTGTTCATAGCAATGTGCTCATCATCCTTTGTTATCAAACAGACAAAAAATAATCTGAATAGCAATGGTAACAAAGCAAAACACAATTTTCTCTTACTTGAAGACGACGACAGCTCCTGGACATGGAGGGCAGGCCAAGAGAAAGATCTGCAATTGAAGAAGAATTAAGCATGCTTAGCAAGAGAAATGTTGGACACAGTCAGACAATGCTACTTTAATAAGAACAGTAACAACAAAATAACCAAAACTCTAACACAAAAATGTAATATAAAAATTAAAAAGGCAAGCAGGTGGTTTTCCAAACTACATTTATGTTTGCACATGTGTGCATGTGTGTGTATGAGAGAAAGGGGAGGGGGGGAGAGGGGGAGAGGTCAGAAAGGCAGATTGCTGGCTCTTCATAATTCTTTGGGGTTTCATAGGATGTTAGTTATCATAGCAGTTCTTACAACAGAGACTTCATCCCTAAAAGTGGGGGCAGAGGGGGAGAGGAGGAAAGGGGGAGGGAGGGAGGGGGGAGAGAGAGAGAGAGAGAACAGAGAGAAGGAGAGAAAGAGAAAGAGAAAGAAAAAGAAAAAGAGAATGACAAGACTCAATTTTTCAAAGTTTTGACTGCAATATGACAGAGGGAGTCAGTCTTAGAAGACTTTAACCCAGGGCAGGTAAAAATAGATTCTGAACACGCACACATACCACCTGGTTTGCCTTCCATGGGGTAAGGTGGGTTTATCAATACTCAGAGTTGCCACCTTTAGCAAATAAGACAAGATGCCTAGTTAAATTTGAATTCCAGATGAACAACCAATAATGTTTTAGTATAAGTATGTTTTAAATACTGCATGGAACATACTCATACTTAAACATTATTCATTGGTTATCTGGAATTCAAATTTAACTAGGCACCTTGTATTTTATATGGCAACCCCACTGAACTGCCACCCCAGGCTTCAAACCTCCCTTTGATTTGATTCCTTTGTTTCTAAGCATGCCTATGTGATCGTACTCTTATTTTCCTCCCATGTCAAACCAAACAAAAAGAACCTTGTCCTTCTAAGAGCCAAATCAGTTCCCTGCTACTTGGTGTGACCTAGACCTAGGATACGGCCTTGGAAAACCTGCAGCTGTGACAGTTTGATCCTCACCCGTGCAGTGGTTCTCAAAGCCAAAAGGGACAAAAAAAAAAAAAAAAGAAATCCCCTGTGGACTTGTTAAACATGCAAATTCCTGGGTTCCCCCATTAAGAATTCTGATTCCTCAAGTCAGGGACCCTAGGAATCCCCATGTTTATCAAATGTCCCAGGAGATTCAAACACTTCTGGTAGCCCGATATGCTAAATGTTTGACTTTCAACTGAACTATTAGAGGGGTCAAAGACATTTAGCAGACCTAGGGACTGACAAAAGCGTGAAACTCATGTTTGAACAGTTTCTTTACCTATGGTGACTTAATGTTGCGGTTTATAAATCAGTGACATGTGTCCCTATCTTATTGAGAGTTCTTATTTAATAAAAACTACCGCATTATGGACTTGTTGTCTTTGTCACACGCATGTCTTTAGCATTTGATACTTCACTTCTCTCAAAGTCCACATTGAGAAGAAAAGGGTAGGAAAATCATTATCAGGAAAGACACCTGCTGGAATCCCTGCCAAGAGGAAGAAAAAGAAGGGCTGACCCATTAGCTCAGTTGGTTAGAGCACAGCCTTGTAACACCAAGGTCACGGGTTTGGATCCCCATACCAGCCAGCCGCAAAGAAAAAAAAAAGTCAATCTCAAGAGGAAGAGAAAAAAGAATGGAGAAGAGAAAAGGTCTTAAAAAGAACATGGCCAGAAGTCCATCACCTGCACGATACCTCATCAAAGAACCCCTCTAAGGAAATATCCATCGAGAATGTGCCTTTTTCCCTGTGGATCAATTTGATTAAAAGTGCAAAACCAACGATAATTACAGGTCCACAATCCTTTACTGGAAATCCCCAAATCAAAAAAGCTCTAAAAACTGAAAGTTTGTTTTTTCTGAGCTAATGTGCTAGAAAAACATGACTTGAACTGAGGTGAAGCTATTTACACACTTTATTTATTCCACTTACAGTAAATATTCATACATTTTCCATAAAAATAATGATGTATTTGATTGTGGGGTGCTGCCCCAAACCCCTTTGGGAGTGTATATAAAATATTCTACATGAACTGTATTGCCATTCTAGAATCAAAAAAAAGTTTTGATTTCTGAAATACATCTGACCCTACTGGTTTTGGATAAGGATTGTAGACTTGGAATTTCAATTGTCCAAACATTAACTTATCCCCACTGCCCACCCCACCCCTCAGGAGCAGTCAAAGAAAGAAAGAAACAAAGCTGGTATTTATTCTTCACCCCTGACCCAGCAGTAAAGTTACTCACCTTAGGTAAGGGACCAAGTTGGAGGCTGTACATAGTTACCCAGCAGCAGGCTCAGCAAAGGCTACGCTCAGAAGCTACAGTATACAGACAGGACTCAGGGGCCCCAACCACCTTGGAAAGGTCCTCAATACTTCTGGAGTCACCATGGTCATACCAACCTGAGCTTCTGGAATACCCAACACACTTGCAACATGCTAAACAGAGAAGTAAAAATGCTACACTGGGCCCCACAGTTAACTTACTTTTCTATGCCCACAGCCAGAAGGGGCTGAGCAGATTCTTGGGGGCAGATTTCCCTTATAACTCCAACTGGCTGGTTCTGATCCATGACTTCCCTATGCCAGAAGCCCAGGAAACTACTAAAGGGAGCAAGCCTCTAGTCCCAACCCAGTTGCTTGTCATATTATCCTCCATCAGTCATGGATCTAACTTCTTTTGAGGCAGCTAGATCTAATCTTGATCTAAATGAGTTTTCCAACAGTCACATTCATGTGGCCAAGTCATTCTAATCAGCACTTTGGCCTTTCACATCTTGTCTGTCTATTCCCATCTCCAGGATAGAGGGAATCTTTTTCAAGACACATGTAAGCATCAAATCAGCAGATATAAAAAAGGACCCCAAATTCATCATATTCCATTTCCAGTAAACTCATGGCCTCCTTTAGCAACTTCAAAGATTTATGATATTGAACCTCTCTGCTCTGTCATGCTGGAGTCACATCCATAATCACCATTAGCCAACAGAGCCACATGAAAATAACATTTAAATTCAGAGGCCCAAAGGCCCCCAGCTTTCAGGAATGTCCCTGCTTTCTTCCTCAGTTGGCTTCCAACTGCCCCCAAATTTTGGTAGCATGTGTTTTAGACTAGCAGACAGAAAGCAAAACTATCCCTTCGGCTACAAATAGAGTGGGAAGAGAGGACACTTGGAAGTGCAAACAAGGAATGTAGGAAGATGAGAATGCATCTGAGCATATCCCAGCTTAGGTGTGGCACTTGGCATCCATGCTGAAATCTGCTCGGCTGGGCACCTGAAGTAACACGCATGAGCAGGGAGCTCCAGAGCACTCTACATTCCCATGGCCCAGGAGGTAGGCAAGCCCTGTTATGAAACGCCCTGCCACAGATGAAGAAACTGAGGGAAAGCCGATCTGATGATAACCCAGGTCTCCTGACTCTCAGGTCAATGCACTTTCCGCCCCACACCTGACACAGCCTGGGCCTCATGGGGCTTCCAGCCCCGCCCCTTGACCACAGGACACACAGGGAGTCACCCCAATGGCCCCACACCTGTGCCACCAGACGGCTCCTAAGATCTACTCTCTACAATGTGAGACATCTGAAAACACAAGCCCAACAGGGCAGCAAATCACATCTACACAGATGAGGTTCAGCGTCTGGCATTCCCCAAAGACAGGCTCATTTTAGCTCATTCATCCCCAAGTCTGGTGGGCGCTTGTAATGCTTGAATCCTTACAAGACTGAGGCCTTTGGGGGCTGTTTTTTTCCAGAAAAATCCACAAGTTTCATTCAAAACCACACTCTCTTAGCATCCTCAGGGAAGACTTCTGTACTACTCCAAGGTTCTCCTGCCCAGAAACCTGTAAACTCTGCTCCTTCCCCAGCACACAACCTAGGCACCAGCTGCTTTCACAGTTCATCTTCCACCTCTGAATCGTTCTGGTGCCAGGTTCTCACCTCCCTATCCAACCTCTCAGCCATCTTTGTCCTGCTTCCTATTCCTGTCCCCACAGTCATATCGGCCCCAAGTTCACTGCCACCACTGTTCAGCTTCCCATCCACTTCTGTTCCACACCAACATGAGTCAACAAACCTCTGTTTTCATAGCGCCTAAAGAACATAGCTTTTGTTCACAGGAGGAAATGTTAGTACTAGGAGAAATGTAATTGGGAAAGGGGGTCAGTCACCACAGACTATCCTAAATGAGGGACAAGCCAGGTTAAGCAGTGAAGGGCATGGGCAAACTAAATGCAAGGGCAACGGAGAGGGAGAAAAGTACAGGAGAGTGGTGTGCGTTCTAGCACCAATCTCCCCAGGCCCAGCCCTCCCCCCCAGTTCTCCTGGCTCCAACTCCTATAATGACAAGTGGCTACCTGGGGATTCCTGAGGACAAGTGCTTCTGACCATTACCCACCACAGGGAAGATTAATTCCCTGGGCTGACCAAAATCTATCCTAGGGCTCTATGCACTGAAGCTTGTACCCTCAGGCCTTCATCATCTCTGTGGACCACTGCAACAATCTCTTCACTGGTCTCCAGCCTCCAGGCACACTGCTACAAGAGGGATCTATGTAAAATCCCGGTCTGATCTGCCATTTCAAATCCTTCCATGGCTTGCCAGTACCTAGAGAAAAAGCTCAAGTTCCTTAGCATGGCAGACAAGGTCCTCTTTGCTCTGGACCCCTCCTCTCTCTCCTGCATGGCAGCCAAACTGGATCCTGAAGGTACTTCCCGGCAATCAAGTGTCTACAGCCTCATTTTCTAATAGCTTCAACTTACTCAATTATATGAATATATAACAATTTACTCAACCAGTATCCTGCTGCACTTATAAGTTATATCTAAATTTTCAGTTCCTTTACTATTTCCTTAGTCCACATTTGTAGGAGACTTTCTAGATCTTTAAAGGAAATATCCATTTTAAGGCTTTTTTTTTTTCCTTTTTGTCTTTTTTCGTGACCGGTACCGGGATCGCAACCAGTACCAGGATCGCAACCCTCGGT